CAATTCTGTCGACATTTAGTGGCAGGATAATTTCTAACTCGAATGACTTTGGTACAATTGATAAGGTAGAGGTTGTGGAGTAAAGGTTACAGGTCTATTCACAATGACTGTAACTTATAACTCCCTATCTATCTCTTCCTACCGTTACAACTAAACATGTATTCTTATCTACAGAACACAGCTGATTCACCAGCGACATAAGCCCCGTATAGATGTGCTCACCAGCGACATAAGCCCAGTATAGATGTGCTCACCAGCGACATAAGCCCCATATAGATGTGCACGCTGTCTGCAGCTATCTGTCATGCAGGCAAATGTTCAGCATGACACAATCCATATAGTTTTGTATTGATAATTTATCTTTGGGTAGCAGCGCTGTGTAACATTAAAAACTCCAGACAGACAAATATTTAGTTGGCATATCTTTTATATGTTACACAGGCCTTCATGGGTAGGGAGCTTAGCTGTATAAATCGGCACCTCGTGATCAAGTTTAGAAGTAAAATACAGTCCCGTTTCTTTCCAAATGGACAACCTTAAGCTTATAGGCCTATAGCTCTGGGCCTACATGACAGGTTTCAACAGGCTGATGTTCAGCTGATCTGGGGACTCTGTGCATCAGGCCTAGCTAAACAGTTGGCCTACAACTAACCACACAATATAATTATGTCCATGCATGGGCACGGAGCTTAGCTGTATAAATCGGCACCTCATCATCAAGTTAAGAGGTAAACTTTTCCAAATGGACAACCTAGGCGTATAGCTCCGGGCCTATAAGACAGCTAGGTTTCAACAGGCTGAGATGTTCAGCGGCCTATGTGGGCTAAACAGTTGGCCCGCAACAAACCACACAATATTTATGTTCATGTGCTGAAGCCTGTAGGCCTAGACAGGTAACATGCTAAACAGCACATCAGGTCTAAAACAACTCAGGGGCCTAAACAACCATCATTTACAACAATTCTCATTATATGGGTGGATAACGAAGGCCTGAAGATCAGACTTGTGAATATTTACATTATGGGAACAAAATATTTATTTGGGCAATTTTTAGTCTGAAACCTGAGGCTTTTTTAAAACAGATATATAGCAAGCTTTTGGGCTAAATAGCAGGCATGGTCTAGATCAGTTTGGTCACAGAGTAGCATGAACGTCTGAAATAAACAATTAACATTTAGTATAAGGGGATGCTTTCTAAATCAATCTGTCACCGCTTTTTAATTGTGATGTAATTTTGGCATCAAATATAATTAAATGTTATCATAACATAGATAGTATAAACACCAAGGACCAATCTTTCAACTGATTTTTTTTGTTCTGAACAATTGGTTTGTTTTCTACATCACAAATGATAATTTACAAAACTGCCTCAAGTTATATAATACATTAACAGACCTGAAAAAAAGAATCAATTAATTTTGTGTTAGCGGTAACACTGACTTCACCTGTGTGATATATCACTTCTACGTCTCCTTGTAGGGCTGCCAGGTGTTTTTACTTTTTGAAGCACTCTGTTTAACGGGACACAGATTGATAATATTTTTCCTTCTGGCCCTTAACGTCCTACATTTACATCACTTAATTTAAATCACAATTTTTTTCACTATATTATTTGGAGAATATGAAAAAAATCAGAGTTTTCTCTTAACAGGTAGACAGTTTCTAGATGAATTTTAGATCATATTTGTCTCAATGCGTAAATAACAGCTTCTTCAGAATTAACTACAGTCTTGTTTTATACACAGTTGATGAAAGGTAGTGTATAAAACCTGGTAACATCATTTTAATTGACACTATATAATCAAGACTGGTTCGCCCGTTGTCAGTATGATATGACCGGGTGGGGTATCCTGCTGGGCGTCTTTGGCAGTATGTTTCAGTGAGATAGCACTATAAAGTCGGCATCAGTTCCGAGCTATCACAAGGAGACAAACAAGAAAATATTGCAGCCTCCCAAAACACACACGCATACAGTACACGCATGCATCTTGCACACAGGGGAGGCCGTCCTTAAATGACCATAGCTGTTGATAGGACGTTTTACAATACTAAACCAAACCAAACCAAAGAAGACACTATCAAGAATTTAAAATATATACATTGTCAGATTTACATAAACAGGGTTCTTCTCTCTGTTGAACTTTTGCCCCTTTCCTAATGAGATCTTGACAAGTTTTCTTTCAAATGATTTCATGAAAAAAAGGAAATTAACAAAAAAGGAAATCAATTTTCAGATCCTACCTTCAGCAGGACACATTTCATTATCTTTTTAAAATTTTATTTTTAAATATCACAAAACAAGATTTTCAGAAAATTTACAATCTTTAAAACAAATGCCTTATAGACACTTTGCAGCTACTTCCATTTTCTGAAAGATTCTAAATATTAGTAAGACATAGCAGAATATATTACAAATTCCACATGTGACGATGGTTTATCTTATTTAAGTAACTCATTTAATTATTAAATCTGAATAAGACACGATGTTTACTGAGCTGATAACGAGTCAGGGATCCAATGTATTTATGAAGTTGATGGAGTATATAGCTCATCTATAAGGCCTGACTTATTTCCCCTGTAGTGTACAAGTAAAGAAATCACTAAATCCAGATTTCTTTTCTTTAAAATTCTGATTCCATCCTCGTAAATGCTCAGCCACAGTATTTAAATACTAGCCGTGTAGGTCTGTCTCAGCCACAGTATGTAAATACTAGGCATGTAGGTCTGTCTCAGCCACAATATGTAAATACCTAGGCATGTAGGTCTGTCTCAGCCACAGTATGTAAATACCTAAGCGTGTAGGTCTGTCTCAGCCACAGTATGTAAATACCTAGGCGCGTAGGTCTGTCTCAGCCACAGTATGTAAATACCTAGGCGTGTAGGTCTGTCTCAGCCACAGTATGTAAATACCTAGGCGTGTAGGTCTGTCTCAGCCACAGTATGTAAATACCTAGGCGTGTAGGTCTGTCTCAGCCACAGTATGTAAATACCTAGGCGTGTAGGTCTGTCTCAGCCACAGTATGTAAATACCTAGGCGTGTAGGTCTGTCTCAGCCACAGTATGTAAATACCTAGGCGTGTAGGTCTGTCTCAGCCACAGTATGTAAATACCTAGGCGTGTAGGTCTGTCTCAGCCACAGTATGTAAATACCTAGGCGTGTAGGTCTGTCTCAGCCACAGTATGTAAATACCTAGGCGTGTAGGTCTGTCTCAGCCACAGTATGTAAATACCTAGGCGTGTAGGTCTGTCTCAGCCACAGTATGTAAATACCTAGGCGTGTAGGTCTGTCTCAGCCACAGTATGTAAATACCTAGGCGTGTAGGTCTGTCTCAGCCACAGTATGTAAATACCTAGGCGTGTAGGTCTGTCTCAGCCACAGTATGTAAATACCTAGGCGTGTAGGTCTGTCTCAGCCACAGTATGTAAATACCTAGGCGTGTAGGTCTGTCTCAGCCACAGTATGTAAATACCTAGGCGTGTAGGTCTGTCTCAGCCACAGTATGTAAATACCTAGATGTGTAGGTCTATCTCCCTACTATTAGTGGAGTGGAATGTTAATTGATAAGACTGTGGGATGTTCCCATCAACACTTTTCACTTAACATCATAATCTTGTTATCATGTATCCACAAATTCAGAAAATTAATTTTCACCCACTACAAGGGTGGGCCTGTGTTTATCACAGAGAGGCAGTCCGCCGCCCCATCACTATCTTGTGTGTTTGTGTGTACTCTATCTTACTCGTACAATAGACCCCTTTCATTATATATCTGTCCTGGTCTTGGCCCCACTATACATTCAACATAACCTAGCATATCAGCTGAGTATCCAGTCAATACAGGATTTGACCAAATAAGGGCACCGGGCGAGGGTAATTGAGAGACTGGGCACCCTTATTAAGTAACATTTATTTAGAGTTTTCTGCTACAGATTATTTACAAACAGTTATATTTGTAGCTGGGTAACAATCAGTAAAATACGACCCCTTTATATATATATCCCAAAAAAGCTGTATTTAAGCAGGGGGACAATTTTTGACGACAAATTTTCACATTATTTCCTAAAAATATACGATTCTTTACCGAGCATCTGCAAATCCTAATGAATCGGACGATACCTGACAAATGTATACCCATAAAGGCAGTCATTTAACTCATTCACCCCTGAAATTTCGGAATGAACTATTCCAACCTTTGAATTGGTGAGTTAAAATGTGCCTTCAGGGGTGAATGAGTAAAACAACTACCTGATGAGGACCCAACAGACCCTGTATTTTGTCAATAATTGTTCTCAATTGATTCAGAAAAAGGGGAGCGGGCCTCTTATTAAGGCATGTGTTTGATAAGGTCAATATGGTATATATAATATATGACAGATGTAGACTGCATATCAAAATATCTCCCAAATATTTCTCCATGAATATTTTTAACAAAAAATGTGTTATAAGGCTAAAAAAAAAATTGTGCCTACCCTAAACTTTTGTTGGCAATTTTAACGGAAGCGATGTTAAATCAAGATCACTCTTCTATAAAAACCTTATAAAACAAAAAAAAAGAAAATATATTACCTATACCTATACCTATAGCTACCTACCCTTATTTTTTCAAACATGTAACAGGAAACAAACACAGCGCAGTGGAAAGCGCATTTGCCTTTCACCAAGGCGGCCGGGGTTTGATTCCTCGATCAGACATGAAAGGGTATGGAGTCATCTGCCCAACCATGTGGGTTTTCTCCGGGTGCTACGGTTTCCTCCCACAATTCCACCCCAATTAAGCGCACTGACATCCAAGCCAACAAGAGTGATTAATATATAAGTTGAAATAACTTAATTCATAATTGTTGTAAAATAAATCATGTTTATTTTAAACAAACACATTCTTTTTGTTTGGCCTAATCACTCTTCTGGTCCAATGAAGCACAATTTTGAACATAAATGTTCCTAAAGCGTTAGATGTTATAACTATCATAGAATGTAAGCTGTGCACGTTAATACATTACCTGTTGTGGTAGACAGGACTCCCCGACAAGGACCAGATTTTTTAACTGGGCTAGCTCATTCTCATTGTGTTCACTTTCGGCATTAATCAGCTGTAAAAGAAACAAAACATATACTTTTAAAAACTTGTCATATTTTGGTGAGAAACATCAAACTTTCAATTGATCAAAATACACTTTTTTTGGTAAGACAAAGCCATGACCGGGACGGTATCGTCAACCTGGATACTTTAGCAAAAACAGCAAACATTGTCTATAATAAAATATTTTCTCTCACAACCACTATAGGTTTCCTCACTCCCAGCTCACTGGATCAACCTGCTCGTAGTTGATAAACGTTTTTGCCTAGCAATATATAAATGGTTCAAGGGCTAGGCTTTCAACTATTTCCATGCAATAAATCAAGGACTAGTCCCCATGGATAGGGATTGACCCCAAGACTAATTGTGGTAGCATGACTGTAATTGTATTTTCATGCCTACCAATAGTATATATTGGTTGGAAATCTAAACCGATTTCAATTTATGATCCATACAAGACTTAGTCCACAGGGGCAGCAATGGACATACATGTTGATCCTTGTAACAGGGTTTCATATACCTCTTTATACGCAGCAAAATATGTGTAGTTTTAGGGTGGGGAACTTGGCCTTTTCCAAGATATGATGCAGAGACTAGTCCCCAGGGTGGGAATGGACACCAGGGACTATTCTGGTAGAAACTATGTATTTGTCCTTTCATGCCTTCTAAATGTGTATGCCCTCATGTAGTGAAGACCATATGATGCATGCTTATTTGGACCTTCAGGGCAGATAAGCCAAAAATTGACATACCTCAACTTAATTGAATTAACAAGAGGCCCACAGGGACCGTAATTCCCTATTTCAGCAATAAAATGTCTCATTCATCATATTCATATCATACCAAAATATGATTTTTACATACATCAATCTACATACATTGCAATTTTACTACTTAAACAACAAGAAAATATTATTAACCTGAAAGAAAATTATGATATTTTATTGACAACAGAAATTTGAACTTGAGTTTTGTGACTTTTTCCTAAACCTGAAGCCTCGATCCTAATCTGATCGGCTAAATCATTGAACTGCATGAGAGCGCCAAGCTGTACATCTCAATCACCTGACTCTGTGACCAAGAAAGTACACACCAGAGAGTAGAACACAAACTGATTGGTCAAGTCGTAACAGGCATGACTCAAACATGTCCTTATAATCTTATCACACTTTTTCAACATGACGGGCAATTTTAAGACATTGGATTTCCGAGAACAATGTTATCCTCGTTTTTCAATATGCTGGGTACGGTAAAGACTTTCGGTGTCCCTTTGATGATAAGACAGTGCGACTACAATAATCCGGCATTCCCTTTGTAGGAGCCTACCTGGGGTGTACACCTGAACAGGTAACACATCTGTAACTTTGATATTGACGAGAAATCCATTGCTCCCGGAAAATTATCTGACAAACAAATTACTTTTATCAGTCTCAAATTACAAATTCCAAAATTAATCCCATATCATGTTTCTAAATGTGGCTATCTGTAGATTTCAAACCTAATTGACAACTTAATGAAAAAAAATAAGATAAATACACACTGGACCTAAAACGTTATCATTTTAGATCATGCAATATGGTCACCATATTCACCTCCCAGTAGATTAGACATTTTCTAAGATGTAACAAAGAAAATATTATGGATGAAGGAAACCCCCTTGAGTTTCAACTGACCAAGATAATGACCACGGGTCTATGTTTTTCTCCTGTCGCCTAAGCTATAATGGAAATGAAATATGACTCTGACTCTCATTTCAGTAACCTGAGAAGATTGCTAAAAGGTTTTAGCTTAGCTTTTGGAAACTGTAGGATTATGATCATGAAAACACTTTATAAACTTGATTATCCAAGTTTACTTGTCTTCATAACCATAATCATCATTTCTTCTAATTTTTGTTGACCATTATGGACAGACCACAGACAACAAAGTGTAATTTGAACAACCTAAGAAATGTTTAATTGTGAAGACATTTTCTGGATTGATTAATGAAAGGAATAGATAACAAGAACTAAAGGACAGATACAATGATAAGTTCCATGAAAGACAGATGAATAAATCATCAGAGGAAAAACAAGACAGAAGACAAAATCACAACTGCTTCAGCAGACAAAAAGATGAGAGAAAAATACACCACGATAGACAGACAGATGAAGAACAAAAAACAATCACTTTGAAAGACAAAGTTGAGGGAAGAATATATATAATGATGGACAGATGAAGAAATAAATTCCAATTGCTTTGGAAGGCAGAATGATGGGGGGGAAAATGAATAATATAGACAGATAAGTAATGAATCGCAATCGTTCGGTAGACGGAATAATGAAGAAAGAATGTACGATGATAGACAGACAGATAAGAAATAAACTACAATTGCTTTGGAAGACAGAACGATGAAGAAAGAATGTACAATGATAGACAGGCAGATAAGAAATGAACTACAATTGCTTTGGAAGACAGAACGATGAAGAAAGAATGTACAATGATAGACAGGCAGATAAGAAATGAACTACAATTGCTTTGGAAGACAGAACGATGAAGAAAGAATGTACAATGATAGACAGGCAGATAAGAAATGAACTACAATTGCTTTGGAAGACAGAACGATGAAGAAAGAATGTACAATGATAGACAGTCAGTTGAAGAAATGAATCACAATCACTTTGGAAAGCTAAATTAAGGGAAGAATATATCATGATAGATGAAGAAATAAATCACAATCCCTTTGGAAGACGGAACGATGAAGGAAGAATGTATAACGATAGACAGGTAAAGGATGGATTCAGTGAGTAAATGTAAAACAGCATGAGGAGGGATGCGATAGATCATGATTTAGAACACAGACTTATCAAAACAGACAGCCCAAGGAGGGCTGTACTGGATCCCATCAGCTCACGGGAGCTCACAACTCAGGTGAGCAAAAAAATCCCGGTGTTTCTCAGCAGCTATCCCAAGTCAGAATAAATATTGTTCTTTCTTGGTTTTCAATGCAGAACATCAGGTACAATTTGGAGATAAATACGGGCTACATTTCACGCCAAACCATCAACTCCTGGGCATCTGGTAGGGAGGCAACTGTCACAGACCTCTATCCACACAATCAACTTTATGTACCCAGATGCTGCTTTTTCTACCATGCAGGTGGGGGAATCTCCCCTGAAGGCCCCACGGTCCCTCAAAACTCCCCTCCCTAGTTAGACTAATGCACAGAAGAAGGCATCTGTTTATTGTCGAAATCACCTTAAGGAAATTGCTTTCTGCCTCTGGTGCAATTTATTGTTTGCTTTCCCTTTAAAACCTATGTACCTATAAGCTTTAATTTAAATGGAAGCCGACAAAGCAAGAGATCTGTAAAGTAAGTTGAGTTTGCGTGTATAACCACTCCAATCTTTACTTACGAACATTCAGCACTTGCTATCATTTCCAACAAGTCATGTACATGATGGATCTGGCCGGTTGAAATGTTTTAAAACAAGAAGGAGTAAAAACTATTACATTTATAAATATTTGGCACCAGAACAAGAAAGGGAAGCCTAAATTTCATTGGGAAGGAAGACTTTCGAACAGGATGAAATAAGTAAGAGATTGAGAAACCAACGTTCAATAAACTGGGCAGGGCTTAAGGAGGAAATAACATTTCAATTTTTAAGATGTTTTTGCAGCCAGGAAAAAGACTTGTCGTTTTAAAAATGAATGAATTTAACTCTCTTCCCACGATATCAGAATATTCAAAATATCAATTTATTTGATGTATTCTTAAAGGTCGTCTACATGTATGTATGTGTAGCTGGAATCAAGTTTTAAAATCAGGACATGCCAAGTAGACATTTTACACATAAGTACATGTTATCAGCTTCTGACAGCCTTCATCACTGTAAGGCCTGATTTATTTATAGATAGTGCTCCAACCATGTAATACTCTCTAATTGAATCAACATTCTAAAAAAAAAGAATTTATGCTAATTTTATTCAGATTTCCTCTTCTTGTACTTATGGTCTTTTACTTGAGTGTACATATGAAATTTCCGCGAATAATTTCCTACGCCATTGTCTTTTGGTATATTCATGTACTGCCTATTAGTGCATAAAGGGTGGAAAAATAATCTGGAAAGGTTGAAAACAGTATGATTAACTTCAGGGGACATAATTTATTCCTTCTCCATTATGACGTTTCTCAACGTTATGTGACATTGCAGGTCAGGAGACATCGTAAGTCAAGATACATGTGCACCATATTAGCACTATATAGCTACATACTTTGTCATTTTTCATCCAATCCAAGTAATGTTCATCAGGAAATGTACATTTTATAGCTACAGTGAATCTGTGATGATGATGTTGATGATAATATACCATGAAATGAACACGGGGCTATAAATATGGACTTTACTGATGAAAGGTGAATATTTCGCTTTATCACAGATTCATGGTATACCATATATTGCGTTAAAACTTTTTAAGATTATTTATTTCCGTCTTCCCTGATCTGACAATATGTATACCATATCTGCCAACCCTCCTTATTTAGAAGGGACACTCCCGATTTTGGACCATTAAATTTAGCATTTTCAACAAGTGAATTTGCTAAACTATCCCTATATTCTAAGATCTAATAATTTCATCTGAAAGAACAACTAAAAATATGTCTTTCCAAGAGCTATTTTGTCTCTAGGTGGTATATACACACATTTAACTTCGGTTTTAATTTTATGTGTGCAGAATGTCCCCCATGGAAATTTCAATAAGTTGTAAAGTATGGTATACTAGTGGTTTTAATTTACATCTATTTGACCTTTGCCCTAGAGTTGAACATCACTGCGACCTAATACAGTGCGCTTCAAAATTTACACCTTAAACTTTTGAGGGTAAGAAAAGACATTGCCAAAAATTGTGCACTTGTTTGACCTTTGACCTGGGGTGAAGATATGTACACCTTCCTTGGCTGATGCAGACTTACTAGATTTTATAGAAATATCTTTATCAGTATAACCCTTTCACCCCTATGCAACTTTAGTA